TAAGTGAAATCATATGGTACTTGTCTTTCTCTGACTGGCTTATTTTACTTAGCATAATATTTTCTAGATCCATTCATGTTGTTGCAAAACATAAGTTTTGTTTTGTTTTTTGTAGCCAAGTAGTGTTCCATTGCATAAATGTACCACAGCTTTTTAATTTACTCATCTACTGGTGGGCACTGGGCTGCTTCCAAATTTTGGTTATTGTCAATAATAGTGCAATGAACATGGGGGTGCATATATTCTTTCAAATTAGTGTTCTGATTTTCTTCAGATATATACCCAGAAATGGCATTGCTGGGTCATAAGACAGTTCCATTTTTAATCTTTTTGAGGTATCTCCATACTGCTTTCCACAGTGGCTGCACCAATTTGCATTTCCACCAACAGTCCATGAGGGGTTCCCTTTTCTCAACATCCTCACTAAGACTTGTTTGTTAATTGATTGATGATAGTCATTTGGACAAGTGTGAGATGGTATCTCATTTTGGTTTTAATTCTTCATTTCCCTGTTCATTAGTGACATTGAGCGCCTTTTCATATGTCTATTAGCCATCTGTATTTCCTGTTTGGAGAAGTGGTTTCCTTTACTGTGCAAAATCTTTTTACTTTGACAGAGCTTCATTTGTTGGTTTATTTAATTTTGTTTCCCTTATTAGGAGAGAAATGTCGGAAAAAATACTGGTAAGAGAAATAACAGAGATTTACTGCCTATGTCTTCTACAAGTTTTATGGTTTTGAGTCTTACATTTAAGGATTTCTAAAAATAATTTGTTTTATTTAGAGAGGGGGAAGGGAGGGAGAAAGAAAGAAAGAGAAATATGAATGCGGGAGAGAAATATCAATTGGTTGCCACTCGTACATCCGCCAACCTAGGTTGGAACCTGCAACCCAGGCATGTTCTCTCACAGGGAATCAAACAAGCATCCTTTAGCTTTGCAGGATAACACCCAACCAACTGAGCCATGCCGGTCAGGGTTTACGTTTTAGTTTCTTAATCCATTTTGAGTTTATTCTTGTATATGGTGTTAGAAGGTGGTCTGGTCCTGGCTGGTATGGCTCAGTGGATTGAGTGCCAGCCTATGAATACAGAGGTCGCTGGTTCAGTTCCCAGTCAGGGCAAATGCCTGGTTTACAGGCCAGGCCCCCAGTTGAGAGTGCAAGAAAGGCAACCACACTTGGATGTTTCTCTCTCTTTCTCCCTCTCTGACCCTCTCTAAAAAATAAATTAATTAAATCTTTTTAAAATTTTTATTTAAAAAAAAAAGAAGGTGGTCTAGTTTCTTTCTTCTTCTTCTTCTTTTTTTTGCATGTATCTCTCTCCATGTTTAACTTTTGAGAAACAACCAAATTTTTTCTAACCAGCAATGTACAGAGTTTTCAATTTCTCTACATTCTTTTCAACTCTTAACTGTCTTTCATTTTAACTGTTTTTTTATGAGTGGATTTATCATGAATTGATTTGCATTTCCTTAATGACTGTTTTTAGCATCTTTATATGTACTCATTAGCCATTTTTTCTCTTTGAAGAAATGGTCAAATTCTTTGCACATTTTTTAATTAGGTCATTTTCCTTATTGTAAAATTATTTAGTTGTAAAATTTTTTTATATTCTAGATAATAGACATTATAACATATGATTTACAAATACTTTCTCCCAGCCTTTGGGCTGTCTTTTCATTTTCCCAATAGTTTCCTTTTAAAAAATAAACACTTTTTAAATGATTTTACTTATTTTTAGAGAACAGGGAAGGGAGAGAAACATCAAAGTGTGGTTGCCTCTTGCATGCCCCCTACACCGGGGACCTGTCCTGCAACCCAGGCATGTGCCCTGACTGGGCTCGAACCAGCAACCTTTTGGTTCACAGGTCCATGTTCAGTCTCCTGAGATACACCAGCCAGGGCTAAAAACCAAACATTTTCAATTTTAATGAAGTTCTATTTTTCTCCTTTTATCATTTATACTTTGTCACATACAACCCAAGTTCACCAAGATTTATTACTACTGTTGTATTGTAATAAATACGAGTTTATTTATTTATTAAATTTATTTATTTATTAAAGAGTTTTGTAATTTTAGTTCGTATTTAGATAATATTACTTAATTCGAATTAATGTTCTATGTAGTTTAAGATAGAGGTGCAGATTCAGCCTTTTGCATGTGCTGCGTGTATTTCATTGTTTCAGCACCATTTATTGAAGAGAGTTTTCTTTCCTCATCAGATTGCCTTAGAGCCCTTGTCAAAAATCAATTGACCATAAATGTAGGAGTTTATTTCTGGCTTCTCAATTCTGTTTCATGGATCAGTGCCTACCATTAAGGGAGTACCACACTATCTTGATTGCTGTCGTTTTGTAGGAAGTTTTAAATTTTGGAAATGTTAAGTCCTCCTACTTCGTTCTTTTTTAAGAGAGTTTGACTTTTGGGGGTCCCCAAGGACCCATACATTTCCATGTATGTTTTAGGTTCAGTTTCATCAATTCTGCAAAAAGCCAATTGGAATTTTGATAGCTATTGCATTGAATCTGTACAATTTAGAGAGTTTATAAACCTGGGCTAACTTTCCATTTATTTAGATGATCTTTTATTTTTTAATAGTGTTTCATGGTTTTCAGTGTACAAGTGTTGGTACATTTTTTCCCTAAGTATACTTTGTGATGCTATTGTGAATGGAAATGCTTTATTAATTTTACTTCTGGGTTATTCATTGTAGTGTATAGAAATGCAGTTGACTTATTTTGTATATTGATCTTGTACCTTATTGAACTGGTTTATTAGTTCTAGTAGTTTCTTAGTAAGTTCTTTTTAATTTCCTATATCTATAAATTTACCTTGTCTCCGTCCTGTCATTTTTTTCTATAAATTCATTTTTGCTGATTATTTCAGTAATATGAAAGACATTGGAATTTAGGTTGATAGAAAATTCTTATTTTCATGCCCTGTTAGGTAGTTACACAGATTATTAAAATGTCCTTAAAGATGCTTTGTGTGCAACAGCTAATCCTAGTGCAAAGAATAAGGATATGATTCCAGGTTTTGTTGTATTTAGGCTTAATCAAAATATGTGTACCTTGTAATAGTCATTTTATAACATAAATTATCCATTTGGATGACTTTTATCTTTTTTTTTTCTCTCGGTTAGAGTCTGAAGTCATTAGATATCTACATTTAATTTATAGGCAGTCTTTAGCCAAAGGAATAGAATATACCAGGACAGAGCTATAGACATAAATTGTATATTGTGGAAATGAACTGGTTTCATATCAATAATAAAATATACAAAGTCTTCATGGTCTTGGAGTATTTGAGTTAGTATTTATCAGACATTTGACATGAGCATGTATTATCTTCAGATGAATGGTAGTTGTATGGAGGAAAGCATTGAACTAGGATTTGAGAGGTCTGGGTGCTTCTGGTTTGGTGAAGCACTTGGTCTTCGAGAAGTTATTTAACTTCCTACTTTCTGTTTCCACCTCTGTAAAAATGAGGAGGTGAGGCTGAATGATGACTAAAGCCCTATTCAGGCTTAAACAGCATTCCCTCCCAGTTGCACACAGATTGACTTTTAGTCTCTAGACAGGCTCTCCTCGGAGGGAGAGGTAAAAATGTGTCCAGGTGACTCTTTAAACAGGTAAACACATTGAGGATCACTGCTGTAGAAACTGAAAAGGTTAAGAGCAGCTTGATGTCAAGTAATATTTTCAGGCTCCCATATTTTTAAAATCATTCAGTAGAATGGAGGTTATGGAAATAGCAAAAGTGAAATAACAAATTATTGCACTTTATGGTTTATGGAATAATTTGCTGTGTTTAATCATTGAATCTGAAGAACAACTCTGTAAAGCCTGAGAGGTGCTATCATCCCCATTTAACAAATGGTATAATTGAAGTTCAAAGGAATTCAGTGACTTGCTCAAGTTTACTGGGTAATAAAAAAGGGAGTCTGGAAGTAGCTGCACATCTGGTGCCATTCCTGTTAACCCTTCGGTTAGGATTGTGTAGGGTAGATTGTGTAGTCTCAAAGACATTTTCAGTCCCTTCCATTTTGTGTTTACCTGTCTTTGAAATGGGATAATTACCTACCAAGAGAGATTTATAAGTGTTAATACTATATGCCTTTTTTAGGGTTAATAATACAAAACTGTGGGTCTTTTTGTTCTTTAAGCTGATAACTTATTTAAAAATTTTTGCCTGTATTTTCAGTTATGGGTTTCTGGCCACTACTTGTGGTAGAAAACAGATTGGGTAGGGGGCAAGGTGAGACCAATTTTATAATATGATAGGTCATCACTTGAGTTGCCATATAAAGAATAATTAGGAATTCATTTGGTTTGTGCTCCTTGAGGGTAATAGTTGTAGGTATACCAAGAGGGACTCACACATCAATTTTCCCCTTGCGTTAATGGTGATTGATTTTAATTTGTTGTGAATCCCTTCCAATTTACCCACCACCTCCTCCTCCTCTTTTCAGTCCGGTTGGAAGAAATAACTCACAGTGCTATAGTACTTTACTGTATTACTGAGCGACACTCATGGCTGTACCTTTGCTTGTGTATATGGGCAGAACAGTCTGTTCCTTGGAGAAATTATTCCAAATACTTTTGCTCTCTGTGGCTATGGTGCTTATTAGTCCTTTGCATTTATTCTGCCTTAGTATTCCTGGTAACTAGCCAGTTAATCATCAATGAGCTGGGCTTTGGAAGTGGTGCTTTGTGGTTGAGTGACCTCGAAGGCTAATTCTCTTCTTCCTGTCCCTTTAAGAAGCTCGGAGAGAACTGGGGAAGTCCTGCATTCAGCTCTGCATTAACCCTTCTACATTTCAACTTTTGCCTTTTCTTAAACAGCTGTGATAGTTCTCACTTGGCTTGGGAGATACAACTCTGAGAAATCTATGATCACCTTGAGAGAGAGTTCTGTTTCCTTAAGTAACTAATGTTTTTAGAGTAAATATTCAACATTGTCTATTCCTATTGGTTCACTGTACTTTCTCTCCCTTTAGCCCCCCAGGTTCGCCCAATAATCTTGGCTACTTCCCTACAGCTGCTAATCTTAGCAGTGTCCTTCCACAGCCTGGCACGGTGGTCAGAATGCAGGGCCTGGCCTACAATACTGGAGTTAAGGAAATTCTTAACTTCTTCCAAGGTTACCAGGTCAGTAGCTTGAAGAAGAAAAATATTCAGTGCCCTTACTACTTAAATTGATTTGCCTAAGATTGCAGCCAGGAAAGAAGCCGATTCTCTGAAACTCATGTTTGTACAAGTGCTACTAGATTGTTTACGGAGGCACAAAGAACCAGGGAGTCAGCGGCAGGAGGACTAGTGTGAGTGCTCACTTCAGACTCATCCCTTTGACAAGATTAGGGGTTTTCCACACTCTTCTTATTGTTTCAACTTAATCTGTTGCTTTTTTTGGAAAAGGTCTTTGGGGCACACAGCTGCATGGGTCTTGCCATCTAGAGTAGGATTGGCTAAGGAGTTTCCCTCAAAGTAAATTATCGACTAACACAAAAATATTTAAACATGGTGTTGAAGTTGAGTATTTAAAAAGTAGTTAGAGGGCTCTCTGCCTATCCGGGAAGAAACAAAGGGATGGTAACTCCTTAAAACACGCTGGAGGATATGCAATGAGCCTTTTATGTAATGATCCGCAGTTACTTCTTATGAAACTGGTCATTTCTCTTGTCAACACTACCTGTGTCCATCAGTTGTTTTCTGACTTAAGCAAAAAAAGAAAGAAAAAAAAGAGCTGTTTCTTGGTAAAGAGCTCTTTAATGGAGAGCAAAATCTCATTGCCATCTCATCTGAGCAGACACCCTTCCTTCCTCAAATCACGTAATATCCAAACCCCGAACAATGCTTTCCTGCAATATCTAAAAGTGGTTATCACATGGTCTTTTAACTGCACCAATGTCTGTCTTCTTGGAGCTGAACTTTTGTTGAATCTTCAGAGTTGAGAAGCTTTTATAGGCATCATTGCCAAATCCTAAAACAGCCCTTGGTTATTTAGAGTTGGGCGTTTTAAGGGCTGTGCCTGCAGAGGCTGTCTCACTATGAGAATGGGTTTATAAGCTTGGCATCCATGAATCATGGAGGACTGTGGAGCTCAACTAAAGTTACCTCCCTGGGACTGCACCTGATCTACCAAGTTGCCATAATGGTCTTTGAGGGCTTTTAACATACAAAGGGTATTTTTCTGACAAATGAAGGAAATCTATGTCTGATGGTGAAAAACTAAAAGTGAACATTCTTACCAGAAGTACAATTTTTTTTTTCCAGAGATCAGTAGCTACTTTGCTTCATCCCTAAACAAATAAGCTGCCTATTAGAAGCCCTTGCAGAGATATTTTTTTAAGTTACTTTCCAAACTTTGATTTATTAGATTATAAAAGAAAGAGAATTTTATCAAAGCCTACTTAAAAGGTTGCTTAATCTTGTGGAGTAAACATTTGAGTGTTGTATTTTCCCCCATTGTTTTTTTATTCTAGAAAATATGAGCAAAGTTTTAGATTTTAGTGGTCAACTAAATTCATTTCTTGTTTATTTTGACTAATCAACTTTTACGTTCACACTGAATGGAATTAAGACGTCATACATACAAGTTGGCTTCTGCGGGTATTTATTCTACCACAAATAAGTAATATCAATTATTTCTGAATTTGTGGCTAAAAGATTGACATGCTTCTAAACTGAGGTAAAATGACTTCAGTCTGCAGCATTTTATCTCCCAGTAGCTCCTAGGAACCATTCAAGGTTGGAGTAGAGTTATCTGGTGTCTGTGCAAAATGATTTTTTATCTCAAGGCATTTGGCCTTCATTTCTGAAGTGCTTGGAATTTATCAACTGACCCAATGATCTAGGATTATAGGGATCTCAGTTTTTCAATTCAATATGTCAGTTTATTCCAATGTCTTCAGTAATTTGACCTTTAAATTAGTTACAATACACATTCAAAATCATTTGTATCTAACCTAATTTCATATCACTGTTACATAGAAGCTCATATTTTCTCCTGTCTCTAAGACTTCATGCTTTCTTACTATTTTCTGCTCTCAATTATTTTGAGAAGAAAATAGCCACTAGCCATCGTATTCCAGCTTCTTTAGATAACATTTTGTCACAAGACCAATTCAGAGGCTGAATTTATCTTTAACTATTGTATATTTATTGCTGCTGATTTAATGGAAGGCTTTCACTGATTTTTGGTTATCTTTAATTTTACATAATTATATAATTACTTATATTAAGCAAATCCTTAGTAATAATTAATTGGTTGAGAGAATGAAATCTCTTGACGGTTTGATTCTGTGCTCATGCATCTTGGCCTAGCCAGGTAGCTCAGCTGGTTAGAGCATCATCACAATAAGCCAGGGTTGTAGGAACCAATCTCCGATCAGGGCACATGCAAGGAGCAACCAATGAATGCATAAATGAGTGAAACAGCAAATGAATGTTTCTCTCTCTCTCTTTTTAAAGATTAAGAAATATATTGATATTATAATATGTCATTCTCTATACATGTATTATCTTTTAATACAATTTTTGGATGTATATTTTCCCTACCCTCAGCAAAATTCCTTCTATAAAATGACTCCAATTTAAGTTTTTCATACTTCACTGGGGGCTTGAGGGGTGTAAAGCTGAAAAAGGCAGGATTTCCACAAAGCGAAGACTTCTGGTGGCCTAATAAGCAAGATGCAGGACATGGGTTCTGCTAGTGAATCTGCAGTCTTACAAAGTCAGGGTACCTGAGTTAGGACTGCTTTGATAAGTGAAATCAATAGAATGAGGACTGAATTTATGAAGACAGACTACCACGAAACTATTTGGTTGTGAAAATACCATTCTAGTAATGAAACTAGATCCGTCTTTATATTCTAGTTGATGGGTCTGTTATTCTGAAATGGATTCTCAAGAATCCTTAGATAATTCCCTTTAAGTTTTTCAATAGCTCTTTGCATTATATTTTACTTCCAGTGATTTTGCATTTTAATTAAGTGCTAATTTTTGTTTCTCTAAAGTACTGACTTTAATCATTGTCTCTTTGGTCCTTTCACTGCTAAGATTTTTACTTGCTGTCCTACAGAGAGATTAGATTGGTATTACAAATAACATCTATAGCATTTAAAGTTCAGAGTTGTTTGGACATAATGGGCTTATTTTACAATACCTTGCAAATAGTTGCTGCTCAAATATTTAATATGTAGTCATACCTGTGGTATCATAGAAACTGTGCTTGTTCACAGGATCTGAAGTTTTGGTGATATTTATTGTGGTGTGGTGTTCTTTCTTTCTCTCTTTCTTTCTTTACTTTTAATCCATGCATTCAATCTAAAGTTCCTCCTAGAAGGGATTTTTAAGATATTTAGCCATGTTAAGTAACAAATGAAGACTTGGAACAAACAGTTATGTGTATGGCTTGTACCAGTGTTAACGTGTTTTCTATCATCTAAATGTCCTGTAACTCTGTTGGTAGACATACTCAGTTGAGATTCTAACCATCCATAGTGACAGTTTGTCCATCTTTTGATCCTGTTTGTTTTAACTTGCATTTTAGTATGCAACCGAGGATGGACTTGTACACACAAATGACCAGGCCAGGACTCTGCCCAAAGAATGGGTTTGTATTTAAGGGCCCCACCAGTTAGACCGTCCTCAGAGAAGAAGGTAAGGCTCTGTGATATGAAAGGTAAATTATAAAGGGCCAAACAAATAGAAGTGAAGAATCTGAAAGTGTTTTTAAGGAATCAGGTGTGAGGTTTCCTCTTTTCTCTAGTGTGATGTAAGAGTGTCAGAAATCCTGGGGCCCGGGGCATGGAGGCTGCAGTTAAGCTTGTCATCTAAATAGATAGTATCTAAGCAACATTTTTGCAATATAGTATGTTGTTTGGGATTAGTGGAAACCTTTTTATTTGGAAATTCACTTGCCTATAGCTCCTGTGGACTATAAGTTAGGAATGCTTTAAAAAAAATAGATATGTTGTGCTAAGTGAAATCAGCCACTCAGCAAAAGACAAATACCATATGACCTCACTTATAACTAAAATCTAATGAACAATATAAACTAACAAGAAAAATAGTTAGAGCCATGGAACTGTGGAACAGACTGACAGCTGTAGGAGGGGAGGAGGAAGGGGAGAAATGGTGGAAGTAAGAGGAAAGGATTAATCAAAGAACATGTATGAATGACCCATGGGCATGGACAATGGAGAGGGGATTGCCTAGGAGAAAGGGGAGTGGGCTGGTTGGAGGAAGGCAAAAGGGAAAAAATTGGGGCAACTGTAATAGAATAAACAATAAAAAATTGGAGAAAAGAATAAAAGAGTTCAAAAAATTGAGGTAAACATCAAGTAACATAAAATTAATCATTTTAAAGTATATAATAAAGTATTTAGTGTATTCACAACATTGTACAGCAACCATCTCTGTCTAGTTTCAAAACATTTTAGCTCCCTATTTTCCCAGCTCATAAATCCTGGCAAGTAATCTAATCTACTTCCTATCTGTATGGATTTGCCTATTCTGGATATTTCATATAAAACGTGACCTCTTTGTATCTGTCTTTTCACTTCTCATTTTTAGGTTCATCTGTGTTGTAGCATGTATCATTACTTTAGCCCTTTTTATGGCTGGATAATATTCCATTGTACAGGCATACCACATTTTGTTTGTGCGTTTGTCCACTGGTGGGCATTTGCGTCATTTCCGCCTTCAGGCTATTGTGAATAGTACTGATACTAGCATTTATGAACAAGTAAATTGAAGTACCTGTTTTTAATTTGGGGGAGTATATTTCTGAGTGGAATCACTGAGTCATATAGTAATTCCGAGTATAGTAATATACTGAGTTGGGTATACTCTTTTCTGGTTTTCTTTTTTAAAAAATGCAGTAAAATATACATAAAATGTACCATCTTAAGTGTACAGTTCAGTGGCATGAAGTACATTTCACAGTGTTTTGTAACCATCACTTGGTCTAACTCCAGAACTTTTTTATCTTCTCAAACTCTGGCAACTACCATTCCTCTTTCTGTTTTTGTGAACTTGACAATACTAGGTACCTCATAAGTGGAATAACACAGTATTTTTCCTTTCATGAGTAGCTTTTCACTTAGTGTGATGTTTTTAAGGTTCATGTGGGTATACTTTGAATGTGATTTATTTCAAAATGATTGCAAGGTTTTTGTTGCATACCTTTTTCTTCTTCTAAAACTAAATCTAGAGGAAAGGAACCCTGATAAAGTGTCTTTGAAATGAGTTGTTTTATTTTTTTTCTTTTAAGAACACTGCATTCTAGGTGAGGCTCAAGAAGTGGAGTTATAGAACTGGTGTGGCTTATTTCTTTTTTACTGTATTATTGGGTTTGCTGAAATTGGATTGCTAACATGTCATTTTTTAATTCTGTCAACACCTTCATGGCTGTGAACCCTGTAGACTTTAACCATACGGATTCTAAATGGAAAACAGGGTTGCTAATACAATGTTAGTCTTGAGAAATGACTGTTGGGGTCCCATCCTCTCGTTGTGAAGTTGTAGAAACTCCAGTCTTGGAAGTGATGATTTTATGCCATTTTCAGTGAGGTGTCAAGATATCTTGGTACTACCAGAGAACACGAGGCCCAGGCATTTAGCAGTGGGAAAGAGGTATTTTCTAGAGTAGTTCATAGTGGTGAGAACACATTATTCTAGCCTGTATACTCATTTTGATTTGTACTTTATCTTTCCAAATGTTCTTTATTCAAGCCCTTAATGATGTCTATGAATTTATAAGCATTACTATCTGTTGTAAAATAAGTGTATTGAATAAGAAATTATTATAAACGGAAGCTTTTGTTATTACATTAGAAATGTCCTAAATTGACTTATAACCATTACTCAGTACCTCTAATTCTATCTAATGTTTAATGCACTCGGGTCATGATAGAATAACAAACCTGGTGCTTTGCTAAAATCCAGATATTTGCATTTTCTTATCCTAATAATATCGGGTTAATCTGCCTTTATATTAGAAATGTAAAAAATTCACGTAGAAATACTTCACTGGGCGTGAGATCTGGTGAATAGGGAGGGGCTCGTGCCACTTTTTTGCCCAAAACTGTTGGAACACCCAGTGCGGTGTAGGCAGGTATGCTCGGAGATCACTCATCATGAAATGAGCAAATACCTTGAGAGAGTCTTTAAAAAAATTCACTGAAGCCAAATGCAACCTCTCACAACAACACTTCCTGATATCTCATAAGGATGGGTCCCTAGAACACCTAACAGGGGAAGCCTGTATGTACTACAAGGGGCCCACCCTCCAGGCGACAGTTGTTTGGGTCCCCCCAGTATATTTATGTATATTTTTCTCTTCATTACAATCTCATCTGAGTGTCACCATGGCCCTGTAAGGCATAATGGCAGGTTCCCATGGCTCCATTGGACAGATGAGTCATACAGCTAATAACCAAGCTAGCCAAAAGATCCAGAACTTACGGCTTCAGGTTTTGGTGCAACCACCAGAAGCTAGAAGAAGCAAAACACATCATTCCCTAGAGCGTTTGGAGGGCGTGCAGTCTGGCTAACACCTTCCATTTTGACCACTGGCCTCCAGAATTGTGAGAGAATATATTTCTGTTTTAAGCTGCCCAATTTGCAGTAATCTGTTAAAAGCAGCCACAGGAAACTGTTGCCCCAATAATGTAGTGCCCTAAAAATTTATTGAAAGAATGATGTCACTGCTGATAATAGGATCAGATCAAAGTAGCTTTCCACCTTGTTGTCTTCTCTTGTAGGTTCATCCCCTCAACCAGTCAATATTAGTTGAATTCTCCAGGAACTACCTCCAAGGACATGTCACAAGCCCTTGAGGAGACCATAGGGGGCCCTCCAGGGAGGGTGGTTTGGTAGCTAGTTAGAAAATTTCAGGGGGCCAGAGTTTTTGATATTTCACCACTACTACCACCACCACACACACACACTCACTGTAAACTTCAAGTCTCATCATATTCCTAGGGTTCCAAAGGGTCGGAGTAAACTCATAAAGTTAAATGTAAACAGATTCTTGGATGTAACTATATTTTATGTATATGCGGAGATGACAGTTCTTCATAGGTGATGTTTTCCTGCTCAGTAAAATGGGCATAAATTTACTTGTACATATGTGTCTCTTTGGGGGGGATTAGGGAGATTAATGAGTGTAAACAAATTTTAGAAACTATACAGTTCTTTGTAAATACAAATAGCTCTTTTGTTGGTGTATTAACAGTAATATAGGGGCAATGTTTCTGATTGTTACCTGCATCCCAGTCATTATTCGGATTTCACCAGTGTTTCTATCAGTGTCGTTTCTCTATTCCAGGATCCAATCTTGGATTCCACGTTGCATTTACTTGACTCATCTCCTTAGTGTTCCCTAGTTGATGTTGGTTTCTCACCTTTCCATGTTTTTTTGTAACCTAGACACTTTTGAGGTATACTGCTTTTAGGTGTTTTGTGAGCTGCCCTTTACTTTGAATTTGTTTGATGTTTTTCTTGTGGTTGGACTGAGATAATGGGTGTTAGGAAGAAACCCACAGAAGTGAAGGGCCCTTTTCATCACATACTATTTGGGGTACTATACCCGGATGATATCACTGGTGATGTTGACCTTGATCATTTGGTGAACATCTTGGTCCATTTAAAGCTACCATGACAAAATTTCATGGACTGGGTGGCTTATAAACAACAAACATTTACTTTCCCATAGTTCTGGAGGTTAAGAAGTATAAAACAAAGTCTTAATAGTTTCCTTTGCCTTTGGCAAATACTGTTGTCAATACTGGGTATTTTTGGAGACTCTTGTAACGTGTTAAGCCTGGTGTTGTCACAACAGCTAAGTTTTATGCAAAAAAAAAAAAAAAAACCCTCTGGAGCTTCTGTTGGAAAGCACTTTTTAAGCATGGCCTCCTAAATGTATATAGTTTGGATGACTTTGCAGATTGAAAATGATCATTGTCTTGTGCAGTATAACTGATTTGGGGGTGGGGGGATTATACAGTGTCAACATTTTAGTTACTGTCCAAAAAATCTATTAGTCTTTGGATGAATAAGCAGCTTTCAAAATTAGACAAGGTTTCTCTCTTCCTTTTTTTAAAAAAATTATTTAATTATTCAAATAGTTTTCTGTCTTTTACTCCCATCCCAGCCCCCCCCCCCCCCCCCCCCAGTGCTCCTTACCTCCCTCCCATTTCCACCCCCCTTAGTTTTTGTCCATGTGTCCTTTATACTAGTTCCGGTTCTCGATTCCTTTTCTAATAGTGGGCAAGAACAACTGAATAAGGGTTGAGTCTTGATTTAAATGACAAAAAGGCTATCAAAAAACTTTGAGCCCTGGCTGGTATAGCTCAGTGGATTGAGCACAGGCCTGTGAACAAAAGGGGCCTGCGAACAAAAGGATCGTAGTTTGATTCCCGGTCAGGGCACATGGCTGGGTTGCAGTCCAGTTCCCAGCAGGGGACGCACGAGAGGCAACCATACATTGACATTTTGTCTCCCTCTCTCCTTCTCTTCCCCTCTAAAGAGAAATAAATAAAATCTTAAAAAAGAAAAAAACTTTCTTTGATTAAAGAATCTGAGTATGGGTTTTACTTTTTATATAAGGCAAAAGAAACTATTCCTCTGTCCTGACAAAGAGATCTCACAAATGACTTTTCAGAAAAGATATGTCAAAATTACTGTAAGGAAATAATCAGGATTTCAGGCTTCTTCAGGGGTTTAGGCTCAGTCCCAAGGACATAACAGCAGTTGGTGAGATTCAGGTGTCTTATAAGCATTTCTTGTACACAGTACTTTCAATGACAGTTTTGTGCAAAATAAAACACGTTTTAAGATAGCTTACCGGAAAGGAAAGAGATCTGTGAATGTTTGCTGTTACAATTTCAAAATTGTTTTTGCATAATAGTGTTTGCTTTTCTGCAGCTGAAAGGGAATAGGAAACATTTTCTCCTTACCGGTTTGAGGGCTTTGTTTTTGTTCTTGTTTTTGGTGGCAGCTAGGAATCTACAGTTTTATTGTTAAACATTAAAATTCCATTGGATACCACTGGGATTAAAAATCATGTTCAGGATTTATTTCTTGCCTTTTTCACATTTTCATAAAATGTGAAGTGTGATTTTCAGCATTTACAAAGGGGATGATTCCTACTAGAATAAGAGCCATATGGGCCGGCAGTGTGAAAGGTGGACTTTGTTGACTGGTGACCGAGGCGCCCGGGGTGGATTGACTTGGGTAGATCCACGGGCTCACTCTCAGTCAGATTCTGCCCGTGAGGTACCTCCCGCAATTCCTGGCATACATCCTTTCATCTCAGCTCCAGGAACCATCCAGGAATTGGGCTTCACTGGCCTGGCTTAAGTACTGCTTTGACACCACTATGGCTAGGAACACACAGGGCTCTAACTGGCTGTGTGTCTCAGGCTTTTGTTGTGCTCAGTGTTAAAGTTGCCTCTTAATGGGCTTGAGACAGGGCAAGGGGACAATTATTTAAGGAAAATTCAGGAAATAATACCAAAAGAGGGGTAAAAGTAGATAATTGGACATCGGTAGATATAGTCTTACTGTATTTAGCATAGAAGAAGCAGCTTTGACTACACAGTATTTTACACTGTGTGCTAAATAACCATCACTTTTTAAATTTTTTTAAATGTTTAAAACCCACATTTTAAAAACAAATTCTAGCAATAGTATTTCACTAATTCTAAATTATTTTTTCTGTTGCAAATGCATTTTTAATTTTTAGTATACTTTATTGATTATGCTATTACAGTTGTATCAGTTTTTCCCCCTTTGCCTCCCTCTACCTGGTACCTACCATTCCCTCCAAACGGTCTCCCCCTCTACCCCTGCCGCAGCTTAGTTCATGTCCATTGGTCGTGCATATAAGTTCTTTGGCTTCTTCATTTTCTATACTTTTCTTGTCTATACTCTTCTTGACATCCCCCTGTCTATTTTGTACCTACAATTTGTACTTCTTCTTTTTTTTTTTCAAGATTTTATTTATTTATCTTTAGAGGGGAAGGGAAGGAGAGAGGGAGAGAAACATCAATGTACTGTTGCCTTTCGTGCGTCCCCTGCTGGGGACTGGCCTGCAGGGAATCGGCCCGCAACCCCGGCACGCACCCCGACCAGGAATCGAACCGCAATTGTCTGGTTTGCAGGCCCGCACTCAATCCACTGAGCCACACCAGCCAGGGCGTGTACTTCTTAATCCTCCCCCCTTTCACGCATTCTCCCCTTTCTCCCTACCAAGTGATAACCTTCCAAAACCTCTCCATATCTATGATTCAGTCTCTGTTCTGCTTGTTTGCTTAGTTGTTTTTTTTCTTTAGATTAAGTTGTTGATAGTTTTGAATTTATTGCCATTTTGTTCAAAACTATGAACAAAACTAGATAACTCTGCTTTTCTCTTGCTGCTTTTAAGATTATTTATCTTTAATCTTTGGCATTTTAATTATGATGTTTTGGTGTGGTCCTCTTTGGGTCCAACTTGTTTGGGACTCTCTGAGCTTCCTGGACTCGTATGTCTATTTTCATCACCAAATTAGGGAAGTTTTCTTTCATTATTATTATCATCAAATAAGTTTTCAATTTCTTGCTCTTGTTCTTGCTCTTCTCCTTCTGGCATCCCTATGATTTGGATGTTGGTATGTTTGGAGACGTCCCAGAGGCTCCTTAGCCTCCCCTCTGGGTTTTTTGTTTGTTTGTTTGTTTGTTTGTTTGTTTGTTTGTTTTGTTTTGTTTTGGGGGGTGGATTCTTTTATCTTCTTGCTGTTCTGATTGAATGGTTTTTTCTCCCTTATGTTCCACTGGTTTGACTCTCAGCTTTATTCACTCCACTGTTGGTTCCGTATAAATTTTTCTTATTTCACTTAACATAACCTTCGTTTCTTCCTGGGTGTTTTTATGCTGTTGAAGTACCCAGCAAGTTCTTTGGTCATCCTAGTAACCAGTGTTTTGAACTCTGCATCTGATAGATTTTATTTAGCTCTTTTTCTGGAGTTTTGATTTGTTCTTTCATTTGAGCCATATCTCCTTGTCTCCTCAGTTTGGCAGTCTCCCTGTGTTTGTTTCTATGTATTAGATAGAGCTGCTTTGACGCCCTGTCTTAGTAGCGTAGCCTATTATAGAAAAGGGCATTGGTAAGTTGGATGGGGTGGAACCTTAGATTATCACCAGCATGGGTGAACCTGAGTCGCTGCTCTGGGGCTCTGTGTGGGGGAGGGCTCAGAGAAGGAACAGTGCTGCTACCTGACCTCTGGAGTTTTGTCCTGGAAGAAGCTGTCTCCTGGCACTCACCCTGATGCCAGATACTTCAGTATATACTGGTGCCCTTCCAGCTGCTGCCCTGGTGCTGAAGTCCTGAGTGAGTGAGTCTGCACAAAGTCCTAAGTCCATTGCAGGCACTTTAAGAGGAGATGCCTAAGAATCCCACAGCTTCTCCCACAGCCCTAACCCTCACTGGTTTTTATAGCCAGAAGTTATGAGGACTTACCTTCCTGCCACCAGAACCCTGGTCTGTGTGGTCTGGTGTTGGACTGGGATCCCTCCCTCCGAAGGTATCCCTCCCTGTTTTTATCCACCACACACAGGTGCGGGACTACCCGTTCCTTGTCTCTACGTCTCTGCCTCTCCTTCAAGTCTGGATGAATGTGGCTTCTTTAATTCCTTCATTGTCAGACTTCCATACAGCTCGATTTTCTGATGATTCTGGGTAGTATTTGTTTTGTAGTGTAGTTGTAATTTTTGCTCTGGTTGTACAAGGAGGCAAGCCGTGTTTACCTATGCCTCCATCTTGACCAGAAGTTAGTATTTCACTATTTTTAATTAGTTGATTCTAATTTTTGTACCAATTTTCGGATCTGTTATTAAAGCAGATCTATTCTTGACCACAATTGCAAACTGGGCACATGAGCAGGACTGAACTCTGAAGAACTGTTTTTGCTTGGATTTTCATTCATATGTGGAAGTATGCACAATGCTTTTATTTTAAAGTTTTTGTGTGGGGAATGAGTGAAATACTGCATTCAGATACTGAATCTGCCAATTATTGGTTTACTTTCTCTTTGCCTCAATTTTCTCATCAAGGAAAATAACCAATAGGGTAGTTGTGAGGGTGAAATAAATTAACCTGCCTGAATGTTGCTAATCAAGCAGTCATTGGCATGGAGAGCTTATGTGTGCTACAGTGTCATGCCTCAGCATTTCTTATTAATTAAAATATTTTTGTTTGAAATTCAATGTTATGCATTCATTTTGATAATAAAATAAGTATTTTATTAAACACACACATTCTGTGCACAATAATCCAAAGGGGTAGGAAGTTGTTGAAATGCAAGTCATCACATAACCTTCGTTTGCCAACATGGCACTCCCCAAGAATTTGCTGTGTGAATGCCAACCGTGTGTAAAATAAAAATGTGGACTACCTGAAGGCTTTTAGATGTCTTAGAATTCAAAGTAAATTTTTTATGGCTGTTAAGAATTGACAACTTTAGAGACTATAATATTTCCTTTCCTTTTTTTTTTTTTTTTCAGTGTTTGAAAGCTGTCTGGTGATGCTGCAACCATCAGACACAAGACAACGTCTAGCAACGTCAGGGGAAGTTTGTCTACACTCAGGAGGCAGTATTTTCAGCAAACGTGATTGGACAGGGGCCTGGGCCCTATCTTTTGGTAGAATGAAAAATTTGAGCCAGTGAAGCCAAATCCTAATAGCAAGCAGCATGCCTAGCTCCCTGCTGGTTGCATTTAAAATGTGAATTGAAAATTGGTTGTCTCAATTACTTCCAGCCAACATGGCATCATAGGTATTTCTTAAGTTTGATGTCTTGGGCGGGGGGTGGGGTGGGAATACTCCACTTATGTCTACTATCTGCACCAGGAACTCTGTTATGGAAACTTCATTTTCGTGTGTTCCCACTGTTCTCTTTCTCTCTCCCTACTTTCTATACAATCATGCCCTATTATGAAGTAATTCAAGAATAAGTTCTTGGAGTACTTGAATCCCAAACTTTAGAAATAAAACTAATATTTTCTCAGTCTCTTGGCCATCATGATGTCTTATAGTTTAAAAAAAAAACAAAAACAATTTTTAAACAAGTTGGAATAAATTAGAAATAGTGCACCCACCACAAAACATACATAGTTTAAAAGTTGGACCCTTTTCTCAGCAGGTATGAATTGTAAATAAATGAACTAGGGGCCAAAATGCAAAACCAAAAATGAAGCAGCTACATGTAGTTAGTGATTTCTAGTTTGATCTGTTACTGAATATTGTGGCTTCATATGTATTATTTTATATTGTACTTTTCCCATTATTGATGGTTTGGACCTTAATAAGAGAAATTCCATAGTTTTAAATATGACAAAAATGAGATTATTTGAACAGTGTATTCTAGAAAGCAGTGTACTAACTGAACTTGTGTATATTAAGATAGCCTTAAACCTCTAACTCCTTAACTGTCATATAATGAAAACTTTTTAAAGCATAGGATTATAGTCAGCATGCTACACGGAGAGGTAAACACTGATGCGGTTAGAGCAGGTACTGATGCTGTCGGTATTTAGCACTGTGTGTTTAGCTGTGTTTATGCTTGCTACAGAAGTGCAATATTAGACACTAGCTAGCTAGTACAGCTGCCTCATGTTACTCCAAAGAGGAAAATAGGACTTCATTAACTTAGTGCACATTTAAGTTACTCATCTTGTCCTTTGCTTGAATGCAATGCCATGCAGATTTCCATGGCTGTTAATTTTATTTACTTTGACTAACACCTTGGAAAAACAAACATCCCCTCTTCAGCTGCCCAGGAATGGGTCCGGAACTGCAGTAGGGGAAAAAAAAAAAAAACCAAAACCATTTTGTGTGAAAATTGGGGATAACTGGCACTTAAGATCCGAAAAAAAGTTCTTAATACTTGATGCCTTAAGATGCTGTCTGCCCAAAGCTCTGAAAGACTTTGATAGGCAATAATACTTACAATACTACTGAGTTTTTGTAGAATATTTACATTTGATAATAAAACTGGCCTGTTCAATCTCAATGTTTCCATTCTTTTTTGTTAGTGGAAGAGCTACAATAATGGTGAAAGGCATAGGTAAGCTATCTTTTCCTGGGGTGCTAAGATTTTTCCCTAAGTTTACCGTAAGTATAATATTTGTAAAACCTATCATCAGGTACAGTACAACTGTCCTTAAGGGGTGAATTATTGAAACTATGACATTTTTAACTTACGCAGTTAGATATTAATATTTGGTCCTTGCATTTTCTGGAAATCTATTTGCTTAACAACTTGAAAACATACTTAAGTCACATAAAACTAGTAGGGCCTAACAAGGGTGTCCAACCTTTTGGGGTCTCTGGGCCACACTGGAAGAAGAAGAGTTGCCTTGGGCCATGCATTAAACACACAAACACTAATGAAAACTGATGAGCAAAAAAAAAAAAGTGGTTTTAAGTAAATTTACAATTTTGTGTTGGGCCACATTCATAGCCATCCCAGGCTTCATGGTTGGGCACCCACGGATCTTCAGTGGTTTCTGAACTCCGCATACTCCTTTTTTCCAGTCACTGTCCTTACTGAGTTCTCCAATATTGTCTAGTCCAAATTCTGTCTGTTTTTTTGGACCATAATTAAGCCTTGACAGACTTACCTTATTTTGGAGCTATATATATTGTAAGTATCACTTATTTTTGTTTATTCAAATGTATTGACCCTGACCGAGTAAGCTCAGTTGGTTAGAGCATCAAACCAATACACCAAGATTGTGAGTTCAATCCCCAGTGAGTGCACATATAAGACCCAATGAATGTACAAATAAGTGGAACAACAAATCAATGTTTTCTTTTCTCTCTTTCTAAAAATCAATTTTAAAAAAATTTTAAAGAAGAGTGCAACCCCTGGCTGATGTAGCTCATTGGATTGAGTGCAGGCATGTGGGTTGCTGGTTTGATCCCCAGGAGGGGCACGTGCCTGGGTTGCAGGCCAGGTCCCCAGTGGAGGGTGCTTGAGAGGCAACCACACATTGATGTTTCTCTCCCTCTCTACTTCTCTTCCCCTCCAAAAATAAATAGCATCTAAAAAAAAGTGCAAATGTATCAATTCTGGATTTCTGTTATAACTGAAAAGGCAGGAAGTATGCATGCATTTCACTCAATGTCAGGTACATTTCTGTTCACTCAATTTACTCTTGATAAGCATTCACTGAACAGAGGTAAGTTCACCTGGGGAACTTTTCCAGTCTGTCCTCACCATTGTCATTTACAAAAATGGAACAATTGCTTTCACATTGGTGCCTCAGTTTTGGTCTCTGCCATCATCTGTAAGGAAGTGACAGGGTTCTCTAGGCACACTGAGCTGACCCATGTTCCTCTTCTTCAATGTCTGTCAGGCTTTTAATGTTGCTCATGTCTTCCCTGCCTTCACCAAAAACAGTTGCCTGAGCTAAACTGGTTTTTCTGTTTAGCTCCCTGAAATAGTACCTTTGTAGCTGCTCTTCACATAGCAGAAAAGAAAAATAGGCACTCAAGAGCATGTGGAGTAAGGGTGGTAGGGAAGGATGAGAGAATGGGAATAAAAAAGATTGGAATATATTAAGACTTTTGAGCCCTGGCTGGTGTGGCTCGGTGGATTGAGCATGGGCCTGCGAACCAAAGGGTTGCTGGTTCGATTCCCAGTCGGGGTACTTGTATGGGTTGCTGGCCAGGTCCCCAGTGGGAGGCATGTGAGACACAGCCACACCTTGACATTTCTCTCCTTGCCTTCCCTTCCCCTTCTCCAAAAATAAATAAAATACTTTTTAAAAAAAAAAAAGGACTTTCCAGGTCCATCTTTTAGGTTTATAATTAATTATACAATTTCTCCGTGCTTTCCTCAGCTCTTGGGAAAGTCATTTTTTAAAATATACAAAAGTAGATAGAATACTGTGTATTTTTACCCAGCTTCAACAGTCCTGAACTCCAGTCCAATCTTGCTTCCTTTCCACACAGTTGTATTATTTCAAAGCAAGTTCTTTGGGTCAAGTTCAAAGTTGAGCCACTGTAGGAGGTGATGCTCTTAATGAGAAGAGTAAAAGAACAGAACTGAAGTGTTAGAATATTCTGTTTATGAATGTCGTGTTTAAAGCTGAATCAGTACAACTATGTTCTGCTTCATACTCTAGCCCACGTACTAGAAACATGGGCCAGACAAAAGAATTTATGTTTGAGGACTACAAAGCTACCAGGATGAAATTCACAAGTAAGAGCACTAAGTGTGAGCCTTTGGAGAAAAAAATTGTTTTTCTATCTATATTTTTGCTGCCTCCTTTCTTTATCTTTAAATATTTATTTTAGAGATGTGGAAGGGAGGGAGGAAAATGGAGAAAAACATCAATCTTGCAGGTACCGCAACCGGTGACTGAAATGCAACCCAGGAATGTTCCCTGATTGGAATTAAACTGGTGACCTTTTGCCTTGTGAGACGATGCTCAACCAACCAAGTCACACTGGTCAGGGCTGGCTTCCTCCTTTTGGTTGAGTTCTTGAAGGGCAAGATGCAGGCCTAGGAAAAAAGGTTCAGAAGCAAACTACTGGACTTCTCCCTGGCTTACACCTATGTTAAAGGGCAATTGTCATTCAATGTAGTTCAGTTCAATTCATTCATATGAAAGATGGAGGGATATTTGGGGCCCAAACCCAAGCTTGTAATCATTACACTGGATGCTACAACAAAACCACTGAGAACATGTATGCTCCATAATAATAAACACTGTATTGGTTAAATGAATCCTCACAACAACGTATTATAGTAGGTACTACAGAAAGTAAAGGAAGGGATCTGGAAGATAAAGTAAGATTCGGAGACTAGTCGATGTGGTTAGTACTCTCATAGTTGCTCCTTTACCCACTCCGCCTCTTTTCCTAACACTGCCCATGTGTACGTCATTGTTTGCTGTGTCATAGAGTAGGGCTTCGCAGTGTTCCTTTGGTCTGCGTGTCACTTTATTACCAGCACGCCAGTACTTTAGAAGCTGAATTATTTAGTGGCTGCATATTGTTGCTGTTATAAAGGTGAATGTAAGTGGGTTACAAAGCTGCTCTTACTGGAATGTGAGCCAATGTTTCACAACTAACACCTGTGTGATAGAGTTCAACACCAAAAGAATATTTTTTAAAATGTGGAACTCTCAGCCTCCTTCGTGTTTCATCTCTGTTCCTCATGGTTCCTTCCTCAGCCACCTTCCCCATCTATTCATTTGCCGGGCAAACTCTCTCATTGACTCCCATACTCCTCTGTTGAGCAAGGAATGTTTAAACCCAACAATATAATGGACATTTCCATTCAGACATTCCCCAGGCATTTAAAATTCAACATACTTCAAAGAAAACTTACCTTTCTATGTCCTTACACCAGCCATTCTTGTGCTCTCTTTACTTCAGGAAGCAGCACCATATACCGCCCTGGGTCCAAGATAAACAAACTCGTGCTTCCTCTCCTCATTCTTCCCCTCCGGTATTGGACTCCTTGCATCAAATTCTCTTTTTCCTTTATTGCCAGCATGCTTTTTTAAGTTAAAAACACAGACTTGATTATATGTTATTTTCTTTTTAGCCACATTATTGAGGTATGACTGAGGTACAAAACACTACATAGTTATGTACACAACTGGATGAGTTTGGAGATAAGTATGCACCAGTGAAACCCTGGCCACAATCGATGCCACAACTGTTCATCGTCTCCAAAAATGTCTTCCCGCCCTTTTTGTGTGTGATGAGAACACAACATAATGATTATGTGTTCTTCACATCTTTTTATTAAAAATTCCCATTTGCTGTAGGAAAAAATCCACACTGCTCTGCGTGATATGGCATGAGCTGACTCTTGTCTACCTACTTTTTGAGCTTTCCAAGGTACTCTTCACCTCATGCTCTACACTTTTTTGTACTTTTGCCAGTTCTTTGCAGGAATGAATGTTTTAGTCTTTGTGTCCTCTGCCTGAAACATCATTCTCCACCCCCCCCCCCCATTATTCCTTTTCACTGACTGCTACTCAGAAATATTTTTTCTGAGGAAGGCCTCTTCTGACTCACTGGACTCGGTAAGATCTCCCGGTAAACGGCTTCCCCATATTGTAACTCCCTTCAGGGCAGTGTATTGAAAGGAACCAAAGCTGCCTTTTGGGATATTGATTTTAAGCTGTTCATGAAGAAACAAGACTCAAAGAACCATCGGCCCTCCCCACTTCCCTGCCCCAGAGATTCAAATAGAAAAACCTACTTCATAATCTTGGGATGTATGCCTTAGCCTAACTTGAAGTAGGTAAGGTAAATAAGAGGGCTTCGGGCAGGGGTCAGTTAGCGAGGTCCCCTGTGCCCCACTGTTTCTGAGTTGCCTAGAAGAATTTTCCTGCCGTTTATGTTCTGCTCTTCCTCAGTCCTCTGTAAATCACCCGTTCTCACTTCTGAACTCTAATGCCTCCTCTCCCCCTTTTCCTCCTTCATCCAAAATGTCCTATATACCCAATGTTGCCTCTCTGTCTTCGGAATTTTCATGCTTATGTGAATTCCCATGTGCATTTTAAAGTTTTGGTTTTTTTCTTGTTTGTCTCTGTTAATTTGACTATTAGAAGGTGGGAGAAAATGTACTAATTTTTTTCAGCCCCACAGTACCTTTCTTCCCACTGTATCCTTAGTGACTCGCTGGGGCTTGCAATATATGTGACATGTGTTGAACGAATAAATTTATATTTGTTCCTGCAGATGAAATCTAATGTGATTCTATAGTTTTCTCTTTAAAATTTTTATAAGTTTAAATGTTGCTAAAGAGCAAAATTTGTTTTACTTTAGCGTTATTTTACACTTGATCTTAGCCAAAAGGCCGAGAAGCGATACTTTAGCGTTATTTTAAAAATATTCAAAATTTAACATCGTACTTATCCAAAGAGAGTTGGTTGAAACTTACCTAAGCATGATGATTTCAGCTTCTGCCATCTACTGGATATGTAGTACAGTTTCTCAGGGCCCTATTCTCAGTCAGAGTGCT